ATTCTTCAGTGATTGGATATATAAGTGATGAGCAGGAGGAGGAATACAGGGGACTAATGGTCTGGGATAAATCATATGCTTCTGAATGGGAGTAAAACCAAAGAGATGATGATTGACTTCAGATGGAAGAAGATGGCTACATGACCTGTATCTGTGCTGGGACAGGATTTTCATGTGGCGGAGGAGTAAAAGTATTGGGATGTCCACACGGACAACTGGCTAAACTAGAAAACCAACACAGAGGCTTTATACGAAAAGGGTTCTTTTGGATCTTTTCAAGTCTGCAGCGCAGTGATTAAGATTATCCATCACTCAATTGTGGCAAGTGTAGGATACTCGGCTGGGGGAGCAGTGTCAGAGACACCAATAGACTGAATATACCAATTAGTAGAGGCTGGCTCTGAATGGCTGCAAATCATCATTATCAAATCTCATGGTATTAAGAGTTTGTTTAAAAAGAGAGTAAAATGTGACTTTGTTTGAAAGTCGTGGTGTATCGTCAGATGCTCCTTTTTTCAAATTGTGGTCAAAAGGAAAGAAAAATCTTATCTGTGCCATATTGAGCTCACTTTGCTAACTATAGAGGTGAAGATAATGTATTAACTCCACTGCAGATCACTCAACACGGACCATCATTGTGTAGATATAAATGATACTGGACTGCAGACTGAAAAAACTGTAAAACTGTAGACCTGATTGTTATCACATGGAAAAACTGAGACGTTCTCACCCAGTTCTCTTTGTGCCCCAGGTGGACTATTGTCTAAGGAGGAAGAAGTAGAAGAGGTGATAGTGGTGGGGATTTCACACAGTAAGTAGTTAAATGCTAGAATATGCACACACAGATTTAATGTCCTATCAGTGTTATTAAAAGAAAAAAATAGATTCATAGTGGAGGATCTAGAATTATCATGATCACAGATTCAGTTTGGGAAACGGAAACTTTGTGTTACCTTATGATGTGGTGGAATAATTATTTGGTGTCTATCTCATGTTTTCAAAGAGTTTTCCCTTAATTTAAATGGAGACTAACTATCTTCTAATGGCTTAAACAGCTTTTTGTTTGAAGTTAGAGCTTGTGCACAAAATTGCTAGGTGAATGGGTTACAATGTATATGTGTGTGCCTTTGTGTTTTGCATCTTTACTGTAGTTTTAATTTCTTTCTTTCTTTCTTTCTTTCTTTCTTTCTTTCTTTCTTTCTTTCTTATTTTGTTTCAAGTAGCATTCAGTGGACATTTTGTAAGAACTTGACACAGCTGAAAAGTTTTAGATGTTTGGACCA